TCTAGGCTCCACCTTCTCATTTAGCCTTCCTCCATTCATTTCTCCTCTCCTATAAAGAGACCTAGCTTCTCTCTTTCTCTTGCTCCATTCTGTTGTCTTCCTTACCTTAGGCTTTTATTCTGGTCATTGTTTTAATGGAAGGTAAACGGGGAGAGGGGAAGGAGAAGATGTTATGTACTTTGAACTGGAATTCCAGGTAGAGGATCCCAGGGCAGGACATAAGGATTTTTCCTAATGATGGGTTTTTCAAAGAAGTTTTTGTTTGTTTTTTAAGTTGTAGAAGGACACAGTAGCTTTATCTTATTTATTTTTATGTGGTTCGATCCTGAGGATCAAACCCACTGCCTCACACATGCCAGGCAAGTACTCTACCACTGAGCTACATCCCCAGCCCTCAAAGAAGTTTTTATACAAAATGTTAAGCTTAAGGCTCTTTTCCACAGTTAAAATGGTTCCTAGGGCCAAATAATCTAGGGAAAAAAATTCAACTATATAATTTTTCAGTGTAGACTTCATATGTCCTACATATTTAATTATAATTAATCTTATCCAAGATACAAATTGTTGGCCTTACTGAATTAAATTATCTGAGCCTAGGCTTCCCCAAATATGCATGCTTAAAAAACTCACAAGGTAGTTTCATATTACATAAAACAGAAATATAGATGATGTATAATATTTATACTTACTCTATATAAATATATAACATACTATTTACTTGCAAAATTATAAATAGTAGGCCTCCACCAGTTTGGGACACAGAATGGAAAGAGCAAGATGTCACCTCACTATCTGCCTATTTTAATAAGATGTTATATAACTGAAATTCCTGATTGTTCCCATTTGTTTACAGAAATATCTGTAAAGTTAAATACTTTTCAATTAGCAACTAAGTATCTAACCCAGATGATGTATCAGGGAGGCAGCTGAGGTTTGCATTCAATGACCATATATCAGAACTTCTGTATATTACCACTTCCTTGGTTTCCTCATATCAGAAACTGAGATTGGATTTTCATGATTTTTTTAAACAAGCATTTTTAAACTGCTTCATTTGATATTTTTCTCCTCTGGGTGTTTTCAAATTGATTTTTCAGTGGAAAGATGTTCCATTCCAGAATTTTGTCAGGTATTAAAGTCAAGCTAACAGGTCAGTTATTCCCAAGTATGTTCTATTTCATTTTCTCAATCATCTTAATGTCCTGGGCTGCTCCGAGCTCACACTGTCCACAGTCTAGTTTCTTTCCTAAAAATGCAGCTATTGAACAGAAGGAAAGAACAGTTCCAAAATGATGGCATAAAAATTTAGAGGGATGGTTTGCATAAAACTCTAATTGGCACTTTATATGACATTTTAAAGGCATTAAGTATTTCAAAGCCATTAAGAAAATTGTTATTATTATAAAAGTCACTTTAAAAGAATAAAATTACCCACCAGGCTGTTAACTCCAAAATATTTCCTTTGAGCAGTGAATAATTCATAGTGATGGTCTTATGCTTTCATACTATAATTAAAATTAATAACTAAAATTCTGCAAATATTGTCTTTCAATAGAACCACTGCGATATATTTTGTGCAATTGTTCCTTCTTAAGGCTGGAGATCAGCTTTTTTATGAGAATGATGTATTTTCTTTCTATATGCTTTTTTATTTTGATTACATAGGAAAGAATGAACAAACTTAATTTAGTAGGGCAATCTACAATCTTCACAAGTATTAAATTCCATCAGTGTTTTCTTTTTCTCAAGTGCATTTCCACTGAGTTGCAACATTGTTCTTCCTCTTTTCTATTCTAGATTCATCAGCTTCTAATTGAGTATTCAGTTAACACAGATGTAAGATGTGCAGAATTGTGTTCAAGAAAAGATCAAATCAAGAGGCTGCCAATTGGACTTTAACCTGTTTGCTTTTAATAATGCTTAAATATAGATCCCAATTTGTAAGCTTGGTTTAAATATTATTAAATTTTTTCCAGTGTTTCTTTGTACTTCAAATGTTTATTGACTTGTGAAGATAGATATGGATGAATAAACTTACCCTTCAAACTGGATAAATCAGTGGGATATTAGAAATTGAATATTCTTGATATTTTAAAACAGGTTTGTATTACATGGTGTGTTGATTTTCTTTTCTTTCTTTTTTTTTAAACCAAGGAGATAGAAAAGTAAAAACAAGACACCTAAACTGGCTTCTACTTCTTTTCTAGTGGTGAGGTCACGAACATGTGCCCTAGCCTGCCTATTTTCCCACACTCATTTCATATTTGCTAGTAGTTGATGAACAATCCTTGGCTTGAGCCTTGGAAGGCAAAAGGAAGTCTATGAAGACAGAGAGCAACAACAAGAGGAACCCGATGGGTTGAAGTACCAGTTCCTAACACTCACATCAACTCTTGTGTTCTTCAAGGGAGTGGTCAGCCATGTCCAGTGCTGCCAAAGAGCAAGAAAAATAATCACTAATGGGTTTCTTTTGCTTGAGCAAGTGGAAGCCACTGGGAATTTTGAGAAATCCCGGGTGCTGTAGTTGCTGGGCAAGTGTGAAGGGGAAGGTTAGGAAAATGGAATATGCTGGAGGAGGCTAGTCTGTCAAGCTCAGCAACCATCTCCAGGAGTTGTGCTCCTCAGGGCCCTGACCAGAGAGCTTCCCAGTGTTGTCCAGTGAACAACCTGAACAAACTTCAGCAGGGAGTGAGCACCCATTGTGTCTATTCTTTGCAATACCTAACATGAGAGATATGACATTGAATGTGAATTTAATGAACATTTTTTTGAATAAGCAAAAGCAAGAACCTATGCAGAAGAAGGTAGAAAAGGTTTTTACAGTCTAGTAATCAAACTATTTTGAAGATTATGCCAAGGATTTATTTAATTTTATTTTAAGAATCAGGCAGTCAGAAAGAGACATCATCATCATCATCATCATCTTCATCATCATATCAATGACAACACTTTTTTTTTTTGGCATAAAGCCTGATAGCTTAGGTAGCCTTTTTTCCATATTCATTGTCTAAGTCTTTGTAGAAAAGGGCTTCAAAGGACATCCAAGAAAGAATTATAAAATAAGAAACATTAAAGGTGGGTTGGGGATATAGCTCAGTGGTAGAGCACTTACCTAGCATATGCGAGACTCTGGGTTTGATCCCTGGTGCTGCAAGGAAAGTACTTCAAATGTGTGACTTAAATCAGAATGTAGGAATTTCCTAAAGTAGATTTCTAACTAACATTGACTCATGATGTTGTATGGTTAAAGAGAAAGACTAAATTAACATGCAGTAGTAACCTAAAGTCAGGATGTATAAGCAGAAGTGTAGCATATTTATATGTCATGAAATCAGCCTATTTCATTGCACTTTCATGTGAGTCTATAGCAGTCTGAGCTCCAGAAGGAAGCTATACCAGAAAGCAAAAAATTTGGGGAAGAACTTACAGAAGAGCTATAAAGATTATTAAAGACCAAAGATGCATTTCCTATGAAATGTTCAAATGGAATTTCATAAATCCTTATTCATTGTTTCAGAATTCATGATGATTCATATAATGTAGTTGCATAAGGGGAAAGATGGGCTGAGCCCAATAATTTAGATTATAATTATCTTCTAAAAGAAATATCCAAACTTGACTCCAAGTACACAATACCAGATCTTCATCAACTGTTCTTTGGTTTATTTGGTTCAGCTTCTTTGCTGGGAAAGAGCATTCCAACAAAATTTTATGGTGGTTTAAGACTAATTTTTGCAGCAAGAACAAAAAGAAAAGCGCCAACCCACTTAGTCTAAGTAAGCATTGGAGGAGTGAGTTTAAACAGAGGTTGTCACAGGGGGTTATGGAATCTGTGTCCCTGGAGAGTTTTAAAAATAGGCTGAGCACTCATCCCTCTCACTAACATTAGAGATGGTTTCAGCCAGTGTCATAGCTAGAGGACAGCCCCAGGCCCTCTCGGGTTCCCTTTTCCACCTCTATGAGTCCACAAGCTAAAACAATATCTGAGGAGGCCTCTCTGGCAGAGTGAGCCACAGTCACGCAGGCACATTTCTGAATACATTACTTTCTGACCACATGGAATGATAAGTATATAAGTGAGGGTGGGGTCCGAATCTTTCCTTTACCACACTCTACAGCAATTGCCAAGACAGGCTGCTCCCGCTACCAGCACCATCTCTCGGCTCTAAGCACAAGGAAAACCAGTTAGTATTGAACCATGGTGCTCTGTTGGATTTCATTTGTCACATCATGTTATGGTGTGTGTGTTTGTGTTTGTGTGTTTGTGTGTGCGCGTGCGTGTGCTCATGCATGTTCATGTGCACGCAGGCGCATGTGAAACTAGGGTAAGTAAAACTAATCAGAAAGGAAATTCAGTTAAAAAATAAAAAAAAAAAATATGGGGAAAGAGCCTTCATGTTTTCTTGAGGTTGGACTCTGACGTCAGCAGTTGATGCTAATGTTAGATCCTACCACTTAGCATTTGATTTTAAAAAGAGCCTCCTTGGGTCTGAAGCCTATTCGGAATTGTTGCCTGTTGTTCTCAGATAGGGTTTCCTCTTAGAAGACCAGCTCTGTTCCTCTCCTGGTGCTGCTTGGTAATGGCCACTTTCTCATAGGGACTGAGGTGGCAGCATAGCTGACAGGCACGGAGGTAGCTTTAAATATCACCGCACCCCATCATTTGGTGGGTGGGTGTGTTGTTGCTAACTGTGCTTCCACTTCAACAAAGAAAGTGGTGAGTTGCCAAAAAACAAAGATGTTCCATCTTAAGAATTATGCGGAACTCTTTCCAGAGAGGCATTATTTTTTTTAAAGCATTTTATCCTAAAATACTTTCCAAATTTATTTAGACATTATATCCAAGGAAAGTAATTTCAGTATCACGCCATGCAGCTTGAGTCTGTGAATGAGAACAAGTCTGTTGACAGAGACTTGTTCTCATTCAACAGAAATCTATCTTTATTATTCACCAAGTGGGCCCTGGTGGCCTGTGTGGGGTGGGGGACCTGCCAAGGCCATAATTACCCTAGCTGACCAAAGACACATCAGACCTGGCAAACTGCAGCCTAACAAATTTGCAAACAGGTGGTGAAAATATGATTTGGTTCTTTTTAAATTGTTCTTTCCTATTTGCTTCCCATAAAATGCTGCTTTTTTGAAAGGTCACTTTAGTTTTCTTTAGGAAAAGGAGCCTCCATCTCCCAAATCCTCAGTTGATGCCCTTCCCTAGAAGTCTTTCCATTAATTGAGTTGGCCTGAAGGTCATAAACCACAATCAATATGGAGGCTGGTTGCTGCAAGGTGCTAATTGACATCCCCAAAGAGGAATAGTGTCAACAATCAATAGAGAAGACAGAGCACTGGTAGATTTATGGCTTTGATTTTGAAAAGGTATGGGAATGCCCAGTGATGTTTTCCCCGTACTCCTTTTGAATGTTAATGCTTTCTTGAAGATGATTTCAGACACACTGCTAGGATACTGCCTCTACTCACTGAAGCAGAATCCTCTGAAGAGTTGCTGAGGCAGAACTGAAATCATGGCTCGCCTCAAAGAAGCAGCTGTATTGGCCGCTAATGATGCCTCACACAGAAAGACGATGCTCCTTTAACTCGGGGTTTTAATGGGAAGTTTCTAAGCCTGAAACAACAGCTTCGGATCTGGGTTGTGCCATCAGCTGCTCGCAGCTACCACTGTCTTATGCTTTAACACGGCTTGTTCGGGAAGAATGGAAACTAAAGAGGCTTCTAACTACCTGTAACTGTTCCACCAGGAAATGGATCAAGTGTTTGTTCAGCCAGATCCAGGTACTTGACCATAACTGCGTCTTTGATGAGCTAATTAGATGCTTTTCTCTAACTTTACAATTTATGCATGAGCAATAATCGCATAGCTGCCTTTTGGGTCCAAGTTTTGAATTTAAATGTAGCTGTTAAAGTCTAATTAAATAGTTGCTAGGGGAAGTTAACACAAAGGGGTAAAATGTAATAATGACTTTGTTTTTAAAGCATGCTTAACTTTATTATGGTACTGATACTGGATAAAGAAGTAGAAAAACAGGCTTTTTTTCTTTTCTAAGCTGCAGTAAATTATTCTTGAAAGCTGTTTGCCCATTACGGATCTTCTCTCTCCCTTGTTTACTTAAAACATCCAACCTTCCAAAAGGCAATAAGAGTGTTTTGATTTGTTTAAAAAAGAATCACAACTCAACAACTCTTAATGAGAGCCTGACTGTCCCTGGGTTATGAGCAGTGGGTAGCTCTAGCCTTTTGAGGTATCTGCAAGCAATCTTTTTCACTGCGAAACACACAAGGACAGAAACAGAAAACAGGTAGAAATGAAGGGTTCATTATTTGAAGTTAAAAGTCCCAGTTTGCTAAGAGTATCTTTAGAAAGTATGCATTACTGCCTGGCCATCCTTATGGTATTTCTCTAATGTTCTCAGCTGGACTGCAGTGTTGCCCTGCAGTTCCTTTAAAACTCTCCAAGCAGGTGTTAGGAAAAAGAGGAAGATAGAGAAGAAGCATAGCTGAGGTTGGGACTCCGGTTGAAGAGGAAGATCCCCTATTGACCCAGAGGTGACAAGCAGCAGTGAGTTAGGAAGGAGAGGGTCTACTCCCAGACCCAAGCAGCTGTGTCTGCAGGCTGACTTTGCAGGGATGAGCAGAGAACAGCCCTCCCAGTGCAGTATTAGGTGCTGGCAACAGCTCCCAAACTGCCTGTTGACATTTGTAACTGAACACACATCATGTTTTAAAAATTATTATTTGTGGGCTTTCTAGTGGCCTTAGGTCTACTATTTGAGCATGTTAAATAACATTCACCCTTAGCCATTCTGTGAATTTGGAAGCATCAGGGTGATTGTATTGGAGTTTTATTTGGATAAAAAGAATGTAGACATTGCCTTATATTTATATGATTCAAAAATAAGGGAGGAGGAGGAGAGGGTGTGGGAAGATTTACAATGAATGAAGCCCCTAAAAAGGGCCAGAAAATCTTTACCTGAAGTTCTTGACTGGTCACCAGGGCCATGTATTTTTTTTAATTTATATGAAACATTTTGTATCTTTATTTGTGTAACCTGAAATGCAAATTCTTGATCACTGAGCTAATATGCAGGATTTCCAAAGGATCATAGGGGAATAACTTTTGCTTATGTAGTGATTTGATTACTTAGATGATGCAGTGGCTTCTGTGGAGGGCTCACGATTGTTGGGGCGATGTATGGGGTAGCCTGAGGTTCGAACACCTGGGTGGATGAGTGGGTTGAGAGTGAGGTGTACCTAGAGAGTCAGTAGTTCTACAAACAGGAATGCAGCTAAGGCTTCCTTTAGCTCAAAAAGTATCCAGTGGTTCTATTTACCCTCCCTGTAATGGGTGGGATCCTAAAAATAAAATTCCATACAGGAATGCATTACTATATGGAAAACCATGTAGCCATTTCAACAGTCAGCTTCAGAACTGTTCTAGAAAAATGTAGCACTTTGTGGAAGTTTCTCTCTTCTGGTCACTGCAAATTTAGTTCTGACTAGCTAGCCAATGCCCTTCCTGTTAGTCTACAGATTAGTCTCATTAGTCTGCCAGGTAAATGTAAATAAGGTGCACAGAATGTCTTTGTAGGACAAAGTGTCCTGTCAATGTAAACTGGACAAGCCCAGGAGTGTTCTTGCTCAATGGATGGGCTGTTTTTTACGCCTACTTTTAAAAACATGTCAAGTCACGGAATTAAGTTTTTGGCCTAGAAGTTTTAAAAATTAGGTATAGCAATTATGTGATTTAGGAGTACTTAAAATACAGGCAACATTGCTTAACTGCACTCTTCTTGCCATTAACAGCAGAAGGATGACAACTTTTAACTCATTCAAACATGTAAGAGAAATACTTGGTCCCTCTTGCATCCTTTGTAGGAGATGGGGGTGTCACTCTTTTTATTACTGGTTTTTATGATTTGGGGCAGTTTATAAATCTCCATTCCTTTCTGTGCTTGGTTGCATAATAGAGATTAGAAATAAATCTCATTTTGCATAAAAATGATAGAGAAAACACTCATATATTAGCACTTGGTTATTAAATACCCACTCTGTGCTCAACAGGGTTGCACATGTACTGCAGCTGTGGTCACTGTAACACATTCCATGAGGGTGAGCCCTTGAGTCAATGACCACAAAAGTAAGGAGAGAACAAGGTGCCAAATGCACTTAACTGATTCTGTTTCTGTCTCTTTAACAATAAGAAAAGAGGCAAGTCATTGCTTTAGGATGTACTTTCTTCATAAAAAGCACTTTTCCCTTCTGTGAAATTATGTAATGAGATGTTAATGAAATAAAATGTCCAAGGTATCCGAGCCAGAGCAGGGTATGTGTTGACATGAATAACTTCCACACACAACTTTAGGATTTAGTGTATTTTAAACGGCCGCCCCTCCCAACCACAGAACAGACTGGGTACAAATGGACTGACCTCTTCAATAGAAGGGTAACTGCCTATCTCTGGCTGATCTTTATTTTTAGGATCCCACCCATCTGTATTGCAGCCAAGGAAAATTTAAAGAGCCAAATAACTTATAGCTTTTCAAATCATGAGAGCTGTGACTATTAAAGTGCCATTGTGACCCAAGCTAGCTATGATTCTTTGAAACAAGATCTCTTTCTCATACTGGGTCTGACATCCCAGTTCGACTGAATGACTTTTACTTCCCCCCGACCCCCATCATTGTATCAGTTAGCTGGCACCTTGAATTTTGAGTTCAGTTCTCTGGATTTTAAGGGGCAGAGATTTGATTCAGCCTATCTTCAAAGAAGCAGTGACCCCAGAATGGCAAGCAGTTCTTCAAGGAGCTTGTTATTTAGTAAGAGGAAGGTGTTGTTTAGTAAGAGGAAGTGACAGCTCATCTAGACTTGTCACTGATCAATGCTGCCCGAGTGTAGGAAATCTCTGGAGGCAGAGCAGGGAGCACCCCATCCTCTCTGAGGGGGATACATAAGATCCCAGGAAGGAGCGGATATTTGGTGACAACTCAGAAGGAGGGGGAGGACCCCCCAGAAGTGGGAAGAGGAGGAGGCAGTGAGCACTATGAGGTGGGAGCCTGTAGGTGTTGGAAGACCAGCAGGTGAGATGGAGCCAGGGAAGGGGCAAGATGAAGCCCTTCTCCTTAGGTGCCCCAGAGTCAATTACATATACATTTATTCTCATCAATACTTTGGTCATTTTACTGGACACCATATGTGATTTGACATTTGTTCCTTTTTAAACTTATGAAAATAGATTAACATCTTAGAAAACTCCATAAGAGTGTGTCTGCTCAGTGGTCCTGGATGCATCAGGGCATCAGGTGCCCAGGGGGTTATTGGGCTATGGACACTGGGGTACATGGGTCTTCTGGAGGAGGAGTGGTAAGATCTGAGCTTCGGACAATGGACCAGGATGCAATATGTAGAAAGTACAGGCAAAGGAAGAGGAACACACTGAAATTACTGAAATTAAAGCAAGTGGCTAAGAGAGAGAATGGCTACGGCAAAGATGAACTGCTTACACGGGGATTCCTGAGTAATTCAGGGTGTTTCACACTTTGTCTGTATTGTGGAGTCCACAGAGCTTGACTTGTGAAAAGAAGATGTGTTTTATGATTTTTAAAATGGGATCTTTTAATTTAGGTTTTCTTGGTCCAGTATTAAAATTAGACTTTATTTTCTGAGCACACACAAATGGACCCAGCCAAGGGAAGACACAGATGCACTGCGTGATGGGCAAAGCCAGTCAAGATTAAAATACTGCCGTGAGTAACTGTGGTCCTTCTTTATACTTTAAAATAACTGCCATTTGTTATTAGCAAGTCTTATGATGGTCATGTCAAAATCTTTTTTGAAATGATTTATTTTCACTGTTCATATAAAAGAAAGATTTCATTATTTAGCTAAAAACAATCACGAACATTCTCTAAGAATCATTTTTTTTTTTATCAAAGAGAAACATTTTACTTTGAGACACATTTTTAAATTTATGTGTCTTTGAATGTTTTCATATTGTGATAGCCAAGTGATTAAATTTATTTCTTTTTCTCAATCTTAATCTGATGCTTCCTTTAACTTGAACATGTTGTTGAGCTTTCTAAATTTGTAAATTATTCACTAGCTGATTATAGGTTTAAAATCAAGCAGACTCTTCCAGGGAATTCAAATAGTCCTAAGCAAAATTGTGAAGAAGTGGCATTTGTTTCTGGATCTCTTTATCCTTTTACCCATCTTTAACCAGCTCCTGGTCATTTCTCTCTTTCTACCTGTCATCTTTCATCCTTCCCCAGGTCTCTCCTGTTGGGCCACCTGCTCATGGTACCCATGTTTCCCCCATCCTTCTCCTTTCTAGCAGCCCCTCATTCCCAACAAGATCTTCCTTTTATCTACTATATTTCCTTTCTCCAGTCTCCTACTTACCACATTTCACAGTCCTCACTGACAAATCCCTGCTATTATGTTAATGTGTCACTTTCCTTGGTAAAACACTGCAATTTAATAGGAGGCTTTGATTATTTAACCAAAAGAAGTTATTTTAGTGAGAACTTGAGCACCGTGGTATACCTGAAGGAGGAGAGGTTTACAATTCACAGTGTGCTATAGAGTTTTCAAAATGCTCAATTTGGTTTATCTGGAAGGGGCTAGGGATGAAAGAATGTATTTATTAGCAGGCTTCTGAAAATGTGGTCAGATTGCAAGGAAGGCTTAGCTATACTTTCACCTCTTGAAATTAATTGATTAATTAATTAAAATGTGGTGCTGGGATTGAATCAGGGTGTTGCACATGCTAGGTAAGTGTTTTATCATGGAACCATATCCTCCCACCATCTCTTGCCTTTTAATAAGCAAAAGGCGGTAAGACTGCATATTAAAACTGATTTTTAAATCATCCTGATAGTTGGCATTCCTGTGAAGAAAGTAATTTCCAGAACGTTCTAGAGGAAACCTGAAGAGGGAGATGTGGCAGATGATCCAAATCAGAACAATTAGGCGATTTGCTGGGGCCTCTGGATTGTTTGCCAATCACTGTAGCCCCCAAACAAGTGGTGTATAGACTCTAGGTCCTGAGCTATGGGCTAAGCCCAGAAAGTATGAGAGTTGATCTAGGAGAAAAGGGTTTGACATTTTGTCCTGTGTGCAGGAGGAGGCTGGGAAAGACTGCTCCTGGATGTCAGGGTGGCTCTGATCACAGAGACCAGGGGTGGGAAGGAGGGACTGAACAAGGTATTACAATGTGAGTCAGCTAGCTCATGGCTGGGGTCATTCTCACGGGCCCTAGAACTCTGTCCAGCTCTTCCCTATTTTCACTGGATTCCACAGATCCCCAAATCCTGATATTATAAATTTATATAGTTAATGGTCTTTGCTTTTCCTGCATTTCCTTTTTTGGATTATGTAGTTTATTTTTCTCCCTTAAAATCTGTCTGGAAATGCATACCCATCTAAGCTCTGTTCAGAAGAGACAAAGGAAAGGTCTCTGACTTCCTCTGAAATGAAGGAAAAAAATAGAGATAGAATGGGATTCTTGTAAACCAACAAGCAGAGCAGGGTCAAAGTGAGGTGAACCTTCACGGGACACAAACAGGCAAGAAGGGACATGTTAGGGATGGCTGAGGCTTGAGCACCTCCCTTATCAGATGGCTTTCCCTTGTGCCAGTCTTTGGAGAATCTTATAATTGGAATGATTAAGTCCAGCATAAGTATTTTTGGTGGCTACAGATGGCCCCGGTCTGATATGCTGAGGAAGCTGCATTGGAGGGTCTGGCCACCTTTCCTGCTCCTTTCCTTTCTAGCCCAGTGGGAATCAATACCCAAAGATAGGAGGATGCTTAAAAACAAGAAAATCTGAACCAAACCCCATTTATAACATCCTCCACATTCTTTTTTTTTTTTTTTAAAAAAGATTTATTTTTTTAAACCTTTATTTATTTTTATATGATGCTGAGGATTGAACCTAGCGCCTCACACGTTAGGCAAGCGCTGTACCACTGAGTCACAACCCCAGCCCCATCCTCCACATTCTTAAGAAGCTTAAAAGTATCACTAGTTGGCAACTCCTTTCTCCCAGATAGGAGTTGATATCCCTTTGGTAAATTGCTTTTTAAAGTGTGATTCTATAGACTTTTAAGAGTCCACTTACATGCACACTGTAATTGTGATTACTATTGCTGTACAGAGGACAGTGATTCTAAGTTGATGGAAGAAATGTTTTCATTCTTTAGGTCATAATTTCTTTCTTTATTTGGTTGCTTACTTTCTTTGAGCATAATTTCTTCGGACCCATGTTAGTTTCTATAGTTAACTCTGTTATGTAATTTTTCTCACAAATTCATAATAATTATGTCCATGTGACTTTCTATATGATAGTGTCTAAAATGAATGCTTTTTTCTTACAGAATTTAAGTTTATTTAGTTCAGTACCTTTTAATGACTTTCATTTATTGTTTTATTTGCCTTTAAAAACAAATAGGAAGTCAGGCACATACTTGTAATTCCAGAGACTAGGGAGGCTGAGGCAGGAAGATTGCAAGTTTTGAGGTCCACTTCGGCAACTTAGCAAGGCTCTAAGCAATATGGCAAGACCCCACTTCAACAGAAAAAGTAAAAAAAAAAAGCTGGGGATGTGGCTCAGTGGTAGTGTCGTCCCAGGTCCAATCCCCAGTAACACAAAACAAACAAAAACAAAACAAAAAATGCAAAACCTAGTAATATCCAAGTGCCTCATTTTTTTTTCTCCAGTTTTTCCTTCTCTCTCTTTCTACCAGATGGACTTAAATGCAGGAAGCCACTGCCAAGAAAACTGTCCTTTTAATAATATTCAGTCGATTAAATCCTTTTCCCCAGCTCAGTTCTCTAGGTGCTTCCCAGGGTCAAGTATTGAACTTGGTCTTTGTTTTTGAAGAAGAAAGTAAAAGCAGCAGTAACTTGATGGTTTGGGAGTCTGAGATGCCTCCTCCCTTGGCTCAGGCAGCAGAAAGCAAAGGAGAAGCATTGTGGATTCCTTAGGGCTGCCTTAGTGCAGGGGAGACTTTGTTGTCTTTTTTCTTCTTCTTTGTACACCTTTCAAAGGGTTTCCATGGTCATTCATTTATATCATAGCACCATGAGATATGAGGCATTTCTAAATGTTTACAGCTTTGTGACCTCTCCAAGGTCCCAAACTCATGTAGCAGTGGAATGGAAGCCAGAGCCCAGAACCTAGAACACAAAGCTCCCTGAGAGAGTTTCCATATGAAGCACTTCTTTTTGCCTCTGTTTCCTGATACTTGGAAATTATACTTGAAAACAGAAGTCTCTGCTTTCAGGGAGGCTGTAGTAGAGTGGCTAATATATGTTGAGTTTAGCCACAGTCCTAGCACATAGCTGGTGCTCACTTAATAGAACTGTTATAAGAACGATTTGACAGTAATATAACTGGGGGGAGCTAGGGGATTCTTGGCAGGGTGGCAGGGCTTGGGTGTCAAGTTGACAGAAGACCCGGAGGTCAATATTAATTTTCACATTTCTCATCTTCGATATTATAGTTGTCTTCCATGCCCATCCGTCCTGACCTTAGGTGGCCATTCTGAGGACAATCTGGTAATTTCATGTAAGAGGAAAATATTCTTGCCCATAATTATACATAATTAAGCATATCTGGTGAAAAAGAAAGCTGGTTTACAGATTTATACTCTCTGAAAAACATGACTGTGGATATATAAAATGAAGTTGCTATTTGATAGTTATTCCCTCTCCTTCCTTTTCCTTCTTCCTGAAGACACCTCAGCCTCGCCAGAGTGCAGCCACCATGATCTCAGCAGACTGATGATGGAAGAGAAGGGAACCAGGAGATCCTGTGCTTGGCTTTCTGTGGACAATGGATGGAGGGCAGCCCATCCCCTCGCCCCTAGTGCCCCTTGGGAACGTGTCATCAGAATCTAGCATGTCTCTGGAGCAGAAAACAACATTTGTTTTTGTGATTTTATTGTTTATTTTCTTGGGCATCCTCATTGTCAGGTGCTTCCGGATTCTTCTGGACCCATATCGGAGCATGCCGACCTCTACCTGGGCTGATGGACTTGAAGGCCTGGAGAAAGGGCAGTTTGACCATGCCCTTGCTTAGCAGGGGCAGAGCAAGATCTTCTCCTGAGAAGAAGAAGAGGTGAAGTGCTTCATATCTGCGCAAAGATTCCCTTTAGTCAATGTTCTGAACAAATTTTAACAATATCTTATCCTAGGACCACCACTCATTATTTCATAAGCATGCCATTGAGTTAGTCTTATTTGAAGATATTGGAAATGAAAGTTTGTATTGATAACCAAAAATAGGAATGTTTAAATATCTGTGTTTTATTCAATGAATGTATATTGTTGAATGCAATTGTGAAACCCAGGGCACCAATACTGATATAGACTGCTATGAAATAAAGCCCTACTGAGCTGAACAGAGAGGAAAACTAGAGAGGTTCTGTTAGGAACCTGGTTACAGGGCCAGGAAGAGACTGCCTTGCTGTAATCATGCCTCTCAGTTTCTTACTTCATGGGCATCTGGGTCCTGTGCAGAGGGAGGAAGACACTGATGAGAGGACCCCAGTTGGGTATTTGTTTCCTTCTAGAGTACAGCCTTGGGAAGCCACGGGATGCTCAAGCCAAGAGATGGTACTGTCCTTGCAAAATATGAGTGAGAATGATAGCACTTTATTTTTCAAATAAAACTGAATTCATAAGCTATAGAGTTTCAAACAATATTTACCAAAGTATGTTCTCTATTCATATTAATAACATGTGAAGCTATACATAAGACGAATTTCCTTTCTTTACACTGATGATTGAATTAATAGGTTGCAAGTGCTGCTTCAAGTTTTTTTCCCTTAATTAAAAGCTAATTATTTAGAGAAAAACATTTTTACAGCTGTAAGAGGAATGTGCATTTACGATTGCATATAGCCACCAAATAAAACTTTTTAAGAAGCAGCATCGTCTCCTCTCACTTCACCAAGATTAACACATGGGTGGAGAGCCGTGCTGAACGCTGAGGACTTCACATTTTTCTGAGAAAGAAGAAAGAATGAAGAGCATGAAACATCCTGTAATTCATCCTTCTCCCATTTCATGAATGGCTCCCACAACTCATTCCGTGTGGATAAAACCTCTTCTAAATACTTCAATAAAAAGGGAGATGTGAACACCTCTCATTCTAATTTTTATTGGTAGAAAATTTTGTATCTGAACTAAACCAATTAGGCTGCATTCATAATCCACCTTCTAATTTTCTCCTCAGCTACTTATCATATTTTTATTTAAAAAAACTTTAATAAGCTAACTATGTCCAAAAAAGCCACCCTTGTCAGGTGCCATGGTACACACCTGTAATCCCAGTGGCTTGAATGGCTGAGGCAGGAGGATCTCGAGTTCAAAGCCAGCCTCAGCAACTTAGCAAGGCCCTAAGCCCTTGGCCCTGTCTCTAGATAAAATATTTTTAAAAAGTCACCTCCAAAACTCCTTTTCTGTTTCTTTTTCTTTTTTTTTTTTTTTTGGTATCCTGATATCCATGTTCCCCCTGCACTCATATTACTCCTTGATTCTTTTCTTTTTTTGTTGTTAATAAATGTTTTATTTGAATTATAATTTACATACCATAAATTTTTGCCTTTAAAAGTATTAATTTAGTTAATTTTTTAGTATATTCACAGATTTGTGTGACCACTCTATCAAGTTCCAGAACCCTATACTTACTAATAGTCACTTCCCACCTCTCTCCCCTAACCCCTGGCAATTGTTAACCTACTTTCTGTCTCATGGATTTGCCCATTCTGGATATGTCGTATGAGTGGAATCAGACAACCTTGTCTTTTGTATCTGGCTTCTTAGCATGCTTTCAAAATATATCCATGTTATAACATTGCTTTGTATGGCCAAATATTATTTCTTTCTTTTTTTTTTTTTGTACAGACCACATTTTGTTTATCCATTGGTTGTCATGGTCGTCCATTGGCTATTATGAATCATGCTACTGAGAACATTTGTGTGTAGGTTTTGTGTGGACATGTGTTTTCAATTCTAAAAGTAGATTGGGGGGGGCATCTTATGGTAACTGTTTAACATTTTGTGGAACTGTGGAGACTATTTTGCAAAACAGAGTACCATTTTACATTTCCATTAGCAATGTGTGAGAATTTGGATTCTTAACTTTTTCCAACTATTCAAATTATTTCCTTAGCTGTACGATTTGTAACTGAAGAACAATTCAGATTAAAAAGAGGGAACCCAAGATTATTGATGCCTCCAAATATCTGAAGCAAAAGGCCAGTGATTTGTGCTCACCTTGTGATCCTTTAAGCCACTTGTTTTTCTGTCTTACTAATACATGATTTAAGTTTTCTTTTTCCTTTAAATATCCCATGTGTATCCTTATAATTTTTTTCTAATTTTCTCGAGAATCTATCTAATAATTTAGGGAGACTTTGCTGTAAGTCTGGTGTTGCTAGCACTGGAGAGAGAGGAAAAGTTCAGGGTCAGTTCTTGCTCTGGATACCTTCCTACCTTGTTGGAGAGAGAATAAATGAAAGAAGGCATATGATTAAATCATTGTTCAAATGATGAATAAGGACCTCTGACGACCCACATCATCAGAATCATCTGGGGAGCTTCATACGCATACTAATTTTTATTATAAACTTTGTACATGTTTACGGTCACATCATATCAAACAACATGGAAATATATAAACACCAATGGTCAAAATCCTAACACTTTGGGTCGCCCTAACTCTTCAGTTGCTTCTGAGGAGCTTGGTGAAAATGGACTTTACCCCAGCCTTCCATGCCCAGGGTTTAATTCTGCAGAGTTGGGCTAGTGAACAAATACTCCAGGAGGTGGGCATGGTCACTATAGTAAAGCAAAGATTCGAGAAGACATGGCTCAGTGTGATAGTGCATGTCTAAGTGCTTGGTAAAATTTATGAAATAAATTAGATCTTAACCTAAGAAGATGGAGGTATTTTAGATACATGCAAAGGAAGACAGGAGGGAGAATAAGGAAGAGGCAGTGTGGGTGTGGCTCTGGGCTGGGAGGGCAGCCTTCCTGGAGTATGTAGTTGGAGAGGTAGCTGGCACTCATATAAGAAGGACCAAGTTAGGGCTGGACATCAGAGGTTCCTAGGCCAAAGTGTAAGAGTCATCACTGCAGATTCATGAGCAGGAAAATGACAAGCAGACTGGTGTGTCGCTCCAGTTTCTGCACCCTTCTTCTGGACAACACCAGGTTCCACTTCTATAATGGGCTTGGACTGAAATAGCCATCTGCCCTCTATGAGGCCTTTGAGCCCAGGCCTTGCCAGTAAGTGCTAGGGGGCCTCCCAAAGCCCGGTCTTCTTTCTTTCTTCCCTTTATTGCCCACTCTATTTTTGTTTTTCCTTCTCAGATTACTGCTCCATGTCCAGCCTCCCATTTCTAGGTCTCCCCACTCCTCCCCTGTGAAGACCAAGAATACCATAACAAGTGATAAAAAGCTTTAGGCTACTCAAAGTAAATTGATCCCCCCTGTGGGAAGTGCCAACTCTCTGTTATAATTACTCTCAGCTCCTTGGGGTGAACATCATATTCTCAAAAGGTCACGTAAGCCCTCTTTTTCCTGGCTTTTGGCTACAGGAGTTACAGTGCAGCATTTTGCCTACCTTACAAGATATTTATAATGAGGGCAGCTGGCATTTATCGTGTATATCTGCAACTCAGGATGAAAAAAACTTTCCCAAGGTCACTCTCTAGAATAGAGCTGCCTTTTGATTCAGAAAAATATGGCAACCTCCTTATTTGTCTGAACTCTGAATCACAACCCCCATGGCTTATGCCCTTCAAGAGACCCCCAAGTTTTAGATCAACATCTTTCCCTCCAAGAGATCACTTAACATATCTTAAACACTGAATAAAGAAAGTTTAACTTGGAGTGTGAAGGAGATTAACTTGACTCCTGCTGTTACATTAATAAACATTCTAAGATGGAGAATTCTTTTGCTATTTTTAAGGGTTAAGACTGAGGCAAAATAAACAACAATTTCAGGAGACAGAAGTTAGGTACCTCAGATGTTTATGTATACAGAAAAAAATATGTATTCAAATTTCTTTTTTATTGGCTTCATTGTGCACTGTGATATTCTAACATGAGGATTTTATATTTAAGAGTATTGATAAATTTGGTGTGATTAAAAAGTTTACTTGTCCACCAGAAAGCATTATATAAAATCCTGTAGTTTACAGATGCCAATTTTTATAGTGAACATATGTTAGAATATATTTAAACTTAATTATTTATAATAAATATTCCCAAACCAAAAGCAGTGAATGAAATCTGAGATTTAGTATATGTGAGATGTGTGTCATTTAAAAAAAATTATTTAAGATGTGTGTCTTGTTTGTTGATTTATTACAAAATTGTAGAGTTGAGTCAAGATCACTAGAAAAACTGCCTAAATCATTATCTGTGCATGCACAATCCAGGATCAAACTGGCCCATGTCAAAGATTATTTATGCTTGTTTGGGGATGGAAAAGAAGGGCTCTCTAAGCTTTGTTAGTACCTCCTGTTTCTGAAAAGGATAAATGAATTGTTTGCAGACAGATATCTTCTTGGAAGATGGAGTCCTCCCTGTCTGGAGCTTGCTGTAGATAAATGAGCAAGGCCCAATACTTCAGTCAGCTTGGGGCCATTTCCAAGGCTTCTTTTTATAGAATAGGTTGCCCTTCTGGATTTAGTATAGAGTAGAAATTTTGGGTCCAGTTTCCTGCTCTAAGTAAATACTTATGTCTTGTCCTAAAGTGCCACATGATTCTCCCAGATCCCTCCACGCCATTGCCTTTCCCAATATCCTGATTATTGCTTCTACACTTTGCTTTAGAGTAAAGGGATGCCCGGTAAGCCATCTTTCAAGAGATTCCCACCCTTATTCTCTTTTAAGCCCTATTATCAGCTCTAAGCTCCAAGCTTATGCAAGTTTTGAAGAAATTAACTTTTCTTGGGTTCTTTGGAGTTTAAAAAGATGGAAAGAAACTACTGTCATGTATGTTAGCTGTCTCACTTTACACATAAAGAAACTGAGAAATAGGTCATATGGCATGACCACAGTCACTGCTCTGCTCACTGGTTGTAGCTGAACCATCTTCCCTAGGTGCAGTGCAGGTGAATTCAAACAGAATGACCAGTTAATGAAGCTATGAGTGAAAATATTCATTTGCTAATTTAATAAGAGTTACAATAATCTTAGTCTCTTTTGGTGGTGGTGGTGGCCCATGCAAGAACATATACTATTTCTGAAAAGCCCTCTTGGATGATGTACTTTGTTTTGGAATATTAAGAAGCTTCAGTTTAAGTGTGTAGGAAGCCAGAAGTATTTCCAGTAAGATTGTAGAGGATTCTTTAGCAAAGATTCTCAAAATACAGGATAATTGATTTAGTATAAGGCTTCAAAGTTTCTTTATTTCCAAACAGAATTTTGAACTGTCTTTCTTAGCTTTCAGCACAAGAAGGGAGATTATAATTTGTTTATAAAGGCTGGATACCATCCTGTCCGTAGTTCATCAAAGAGGTGCCTGGATCCTCTTGGGACACAGACAGAGCTAAAGAAGACACATAGTATGATGAAGTATCTCAAGTTTGAAAGTGCACTTTATCCTTTTCTGTCCCTGCCTTTGTTCCTAAATACAGCAGTCCCCTCTTGGTTGTGGTTTTGCTTTCTGCAATTTCAGTTACCTGCGATCAACTGCAGTCTGAAAATATTATGTGGAAAATTCCAGAAATGAACAGAGAAACCACACTCACATAATTTTATTACAGTAAATTGTTATAATTATTCTACTTTATGAATAGTTATTATTGTTAACTTCTTCCTGTGCCTAATTTATAAACGAAATTTCATCACTTTTATGTATAGGAAAAAATTTCACCACAATTTCATATCATATATGTATAGAGAAAAGAACAGTGTATGTAGAATTCAGTACTATCTATGTTTGTAGGTCTCTCTGGGGGTCTTACCATATACTCTGTAGATAAAAATGGGACTACTATACTTTGTTTCTTCCTTTGCCTCTATTTTCTGATCATTGTTGTGCTGGTAGAAGGCTAATCTACTATTAAATTCATACTCTTCTTGCATATGAGTATTTTCCTTAATGGTCAATAACGTAAGGCTGCCTGGTTTCCATCCCATTTTGAGCTTGTGTGTCTATATAATATATAGACACACATACTACACACACACACACACACACACACACAATAATTCCTTGTCTGGGTCAGAAATTTGTCTTTCTGCAGTTCTTACCAGTTGGTTCTCATGTTGTCATCTGGACTAACAAAGATTTCTATGCTCTTGAACCTGACAACTCTCAAAATGTAGTTATTATTGGATTATCTGTGGATCTCTCCCATTTCTGTATGTCTTTTTAGCAAAAGCAGTGACAACATTTTGTTCTTTTGAAAGAGGTGTGTTTAGCAGTAATATCTCCCTTCTCCTAGGAAAATGGTTCAGCAGATTTGTTTACAGCATATTATAACAGACTAGGATCTCCTAAGCCTAAAGTTCCTCTCCTGTAAAGCAACCCACAGGGTATACAAGTGTCATCTTGCCCTTTTTGAGTTGTCCTATGTGAATTAGGGCTTAAGAAACTGCTGAATCTGTGGTTTCTGTGAGTAACAAACCATCTTTTGTCTCTGACCCAGCATCCATGTGTCTTATGTCAGCATCCATGAAACTGCAGCAGACTGACATGTGAGCTTGCAATTCTTGACAGTTACCATGCCTCCCCCCAGACAAATGCTTCCAGTTCCTTCAACCATCCTTTACATTGTCATATGTTTTGAGCTATCTCTTATTCTTATCAAAAATTCTGGTTACTCATCAGAATGACTGTGACCTTGGTATCTAGAAAGGAAAATAAAAGTCCATATGTATTCTGGCTAACATGAATGGAAAATTGTCACTTCTTTTGTTCTAAAAACCACACGTTGTAAGTCTGCCCAAGATGAAATGATCTTTCTGGCATTCACATTACAGTTGACTCACATAAAACTTCATGGTCAGTCTAAGCCCTCAAGCATTTTTACTCATGCCAGAGTTATGTCAAATATTCCCATCTTATTCCTGTGAAGTTTTTCTTTTGCACCCAACTCCAAGAATTTAAAATTCCCCTTCTATAATTTCATTATATTCCGCTCACTCCTTTATTCCAGGCTCTTTATAACTTGATTTCCCTATTATCATATTCATTGTGCTCCCATCTTTATGTCATCTCTAAGTTGACTCAGCAAGCCATCTATATATTTATTCATGTTAATGATTAAATTTTGAACATATGAGAGAGAGAGAGAGAGAGAGAGAGAGAGAGAGAGAAAGTTTTTGGCTTTGACACAGAGATCTCAATGCATTTAAGGAGTCGGCTGGCTGCAGTAATTACAGGCAGATTCTCCCCAGGGAAACTCCATGGAGATGCTCCATGGAGATGCTCACAGAAGGGAGATCTATGAAGCCTGAGGATTCTTTTAAGTCATGCAGTAAAGCATCAGAAGACAAAGAAAGAACCAAAGTGATATTTGTGTAGCTTCCAGAGCTCATCTAAAACATTATGGATTCAAGTTGGCAAGT